TGCAGTTGCCGTTGCAAATTGCTGCCATTCAATTGGCCAACTGGCAACTAGTTAACAGGTATTTCAGGCGAGCCGGGCACGTTTCAATTAAGCCAAATGGCAGCCAACAGGATATGGCTCCAAAAGATGTTGGCTTTTATCTGTATTGTGCGGCAATTCTTACAGCTGCTGCCCCAGCTCGGTTTGGTCCTTGGGGACGTACAATAATAGGCGCTGCAAATAGTATGAACTCATGTGTAATTGCATTGATAACCCAAATTGTTGTTGTTTTTGTTCTGACTGTTGTTGTGGCTACGGTTGCAGTTGAGTTGCCAGCTTTGGCGAGACCGCAATTAGCTTCATTATTATGGCAGGCAGTGGGCAGCTGATGGCTTGCACAAACAGGATATACGTGCTGGAGCGTTGATTACGCAAAATTTGCATAGCAGTTCATGAAATCCAAACTTAATGAAGCACCCTCTATTAATCCGAATACATATTTGCTGTGCATAACAATATCTAAGTCATTGCTCAGCCATTTCAGCTGTTTGCACAATTTTAGAACTCATGCTTTTGATAACTGGAAATCCACTTATGCAATATCAAATTCATCACTTATCAATGCCAGACAGTACATCAGATTGCAAAGGCATTTAAATTCATGGAATGTTTTTTATGATAATGGGGTGAAGAAAAGAATGAGTTCTCACTTCTTTGACATCCAACTTTCGAATGCAAGCCATCTATCTGTCTGTCTGTCTGCCTGTCTCGCGGTCTGATTGTCTTTTGTTTCCTTTAGCAGTTTTCTTATACGATATGCAAATGTCAAATGAGCTCGCTTTTGTCCGCCCGCATTCAGACTCAGACAACATGACGTATGCGTGACAAGCGCAAGCATCACTGAAAATGAATACAACACATTGGGAAGCCACACACACACACACACATAAATAAATATATATATATACTTATAAACATATATGTACACATGCACTGCACACACATATGCATAAAGCACCCTGATTTCAACTTTCTTTAAACATATATCAGCTGCATTTTTCATAATAAGTCGAGATTTTTTTACTTTTATTTTTTTTTTTAATAAGACGCAACCACAACAATAACAACCACAGCAAAAACAACAACAATGACAACAATTGTAAGCTGACATTTGAATTATTGGCAACGACAGTCGAGAGGTCAAGGACGAGGGCGAGGCACCTGTGCGGTTTGATTAAAATTATTTGCAGGCAAATAATTGTGCAAAGGTATTATTTTAATCACTTGACAGGTCATCATGACTGGCAGAATATTATTCCACATTAACTTTCCAGTTGGTAATTAAGCCAACAGTTCGTTATTTAATGCCCCAACAAAGAGCTTTAGAAAGGAACCAATTAAAGCTCAAAGAATACCTTGGCTAACGATCAAAACGAAGAGTTGATACACTCTCATGACATCGGCTGAATCCGACTATTAAGCATTTGCATATGAAAAGGAGCTCGGAAATTGTCCAGTCTCGTAAAATAACTTATATTATATATATTATACAATATTATATTTACCAAACGTGACAACAAGTTCATTTAACTATCCCCAAGGGCATATGCTATTCGGCAATCCGTTACACGGCTCCCTGTTTCATTTTTGTTACAATTTTGTAACTGACAGAAATAATGTTGTTTTTGTTCATTCAGGCATAGGCAGCCACACAAAAGACTGGCAAGCCGAGAGCAGAGAATGAAGAGTCAGGATTAGAGTGTGCAGAGTCGCTTATGTCCTTATGACTGTCCTTAGTTTTCAGCTAGCGGAAATTTGTTAGGATATTAGCTGACAGAATGGCAAGTCGGGCAAAATATTTACAGCATGTAACTGTATTTATGTTTGTATTCGTATTTGTAGTGCTGTGTTTGTACTTTGTGTACATGTGGAGTCATGGCCAAAGGCCAACAGACGTGCTGCAAGTGGCATAAACATCGTCCCAACTAGCCCCAACCTCGCCCCTTGCAATAAATGCCACGCTGTGGCCGTGACTCAACTGTTTTATAAAACAAAATGATAAATATGACGCGTAAAGTTAAAAACAGCTCCGCTTAAGTCTAAGCTGTAGATTCAAGCAATTAAAGCTGTATTTTATGTAAGCGGCCTTAAACATTGAGTGGGCGTGGCAACTCATATGCATTATGTATACGACTTTAAGTGTTGCACAGCGTTCAACCCACACGTCCCTAATGGCCTGGTGCTGCCTTTGAGGGAGCATGCGCCCATCTATTATCATCGCCATGAACTTTGTTGCTGTTGTTAACTTGCGAAAACCGTCGCTGCTTGGGAAGCGACAGTTGTCACTTATTGTTGTTGTTGTTGTTGTTGTTGCCAAGAAAGTCGCATGGCTGATGAGAAATTCACAATGTTGCCGCGTGAGAGCGCATCATGATATAAGTTAATTGCAAATGGTTTAATAAAGAAGGGAGAAAAGCCGGAAAGAAATAGTTTGTGTATATGAGGAAAAATGTATATGTATCGTTTTCCTTCTCATTCCCATCAATATTGTAAATTAATTTTGCAGGCAGGCCGATAGATAAGCTGCTCAGAAAGATTGAATGGATAAAGAAATAAACAATTTTTATATTAAACACAATTTTCCATAGTTTGGTTCTGGTGTATTTAAGTTAATTCCCACTCAGTTCATGACTTCATGTTTAAAGAAAGTAACAAAACTATAAAGAGCTGAGCTTTAAATTGTATAAAGGTAAAATAGTTGGAGAATTTTAAAGAGATATTTCACATTTGTTCGGGTTATATATAACTCTCTCAATGGTAGCAGCTGTTGCTGAGTATCTACGCAATCTTTTTACACACTGAAACTGAAATCAAAATTTTCTGATTTCCTTCGCCATCTTTTCACGCCAATCATCAATTCAATCGAACAAATTTCCGTCAATTTGCAGCTGCTTTTTAAAGACAGGACCCGGCTGTTGCGCTTATTCGCAAAACAGCTTCATCATTCACAATTTCACTTAGAGAAGATATTTTTTATTCGTTGGCCATTTAAAAAACAATTTAAAATAATGCCAGTGCCCTGGGAGCGCCCTGTGTAAACAACAATGCCCAAGGAAAATCCAACTTTTTGTTTACACGAAAATAAATAAAATGCAAAATAAAAAAATAAGAAGAAGCGAAAACACGTTAAACAATGCTGGCAAAGAAAATCAAATAAATAATTGTCATCGATAGCGTAAAATGCATATGAATTGATGTGTCCCGGCAATGTTCGGTCTTTAAGCCTGACTAGGTGATGCACGCTTCAGTGCATAAATCAAGTGTCGAAGCTAAGCGAAGTTAATGCAGGAACACAGACAAAAATAGCCTTCTATCAGCTCAGAGGTTTGACTTGTCGGTGCCATTTTTCATTGACACAAAAGCAATGGCAAATGGTTACAGTGACTACGATTTGTGGCAGTGTACTGGCTGACCATTTCTCTCTGGCATTGGCATTCATTCAACTTACCTAAGCGCAAATCAGTTGCCTCTCCAATAGCTGATGCCCGATGGGCATTGTACTTGTTATGGCCTGTGCGCATTGGACTGTGCACAAATGAAAATCTGTGGCACATTTGTGTTATTAATAGGCTTTTCATGCGAAAAATTAAGTTCTTGTTGTTGTGTAATTGATTGCGTCGTTGTGTGAATTCATACAATACTTTGTCTACCACTCGTCGGCCAATATGTTAAGCTCGGCGATTGGCTATTCAATATAATCAGTTGCTTTGATTCGAGTCTTTCATTGTTGCAAAAATCATAGCATACTTTTGTGCGCCGTCAAGCAAAGTAGCCGCCATTGTCCTTAATTAATCATTTCATTCGTCATCCCATTACTGAGGCACACACACATGCACAAATGCGTGTTAGTGTAATTAAAGCATACAAATACGCGTTCGCGGCTACACGTAGATCTTAGAATTTTTGTTATTAATGTGCCAGAGCTACGGGCAAGCGTGTGAGTGTGCATGGAATATAATTTCTTTTGGCCAGTAGAGGGACAATCAATTGTATTTAATTAATTAGGCTAATTAATTTACAGCTGCAAACTAATAAAACGGCAAGTTGAAACTTTTAAATTAACAAGTTTGCGTTCCGGCCAGTATAGAAATAAGAGCCTATGCAAAGGAAATTCTTTTACATATTCAGCCAATTGTGACTGCATTGTGCTTATTGAAAATCTTAGAAACATGATTCAATAAATTTTAATTGTGTTTAAAGCACACAACATTTTATTGCACACACATGAAATATGTTATGAAACAATTATAAATCATAAGGCTGCATATTTAAAGAGCATTCTTGTTGTTGCTGCTGCGGCTTTGCATGCCCTGGAACGTGTTAATTGAAGTTGCCTTAACCTCAGCGTTGGCCCGACACCCAAGCCGGCAGCCGAGTGCCGCCGTTTCCGCAAATGCAATTAAAATCTCTAGGAGCAGGCAGTGTGGCAACCGCAACGAGTGCTAAGCAAAGCACATGACAGATAACAAATAGCCGAGCACGGGAACAAAGGAGATTTGAGTAAGGCAGATAGACGACAGTCTAGACCTTGCAAGATGGATAACATTTGCCAAGGAATGCCATTTGTCTGCGTGTGCTGCAAATACAAATCTAATTTAGCGCTTAGCTACGGAGAGAATCTACGGCAAATATGCCATACAAATGCGGTACGTCTGGGTCAGCTCCAGTGGCAACCTTTTTTATGACAAGCTTTAGTTCTAATTTAGATGCGCTGCAGCTGGCCATTGTGCCAATTAAATGGGAGCTCGCCATGTTGTAGCTGCCACTTGTCGTGAGCAGCATGAAAATATTGCTGCACTTTGCAAATCGGCTTAGGGCCTGACTAAGTGGCAGGCGCCCTAGGCGCATGTTGAAATATTTAAGTAGTTGCGGCACATGTGGCGTATACGCTTCATTTTACAACTTGCATTAATTATACGCCATGTTAAACACTATCTAAATTTCTTCTATTCTATTTGCAGAACGTAGTGGAAATTTGAACAATATTTAATTATTAATGCGTCTGCGCGCAACGCATTTAATGCACAGGCAGCCGCCGCCGCTGGCCTTGGCAGTCGCGGCTGCATTGACTACAGAGCGGCAACAGTAGAGTGTCAACAACAACAACAATATCAACAACAAAAACAATAAAAACACCAACAACAAGCAGCTGAACAACAAGAACAACAAAAACAATGGCTGGCGGCAGCAATGATACCACGCCGCTCTATTGCGGCACGGGCACGGATAATTTTCATACGAGGTAAGTTTGCCAATGCCAATGTCAGTCTGCGCCTCGAGAGCTCCCCAAGGACAGATGACAGCACTCGCCAGGATATTTAAGTGTTAATGCTTTGCTGCTTAATGTCATCAAAAATCGATTAATGTATCATAATGCTATATATTTTTTTGGGCTTTTATTTCGATTTTGTACCACAAAGTGCCATAATTCGCGTCGTCAATTACTTGGTGGATTTTTAGATGCACGACAATTGTTTGTGAAGACAATTTTATGACAGCAACAACAGATATAAAAATTATATGCAATTAATGTATATAAAAGCGGCAGGAAATATTTATGTTTATCGCATGCTCACCGCTCGTAAAGTGAGAAAAATATATAGAAACAAAAAGTAGGAAAGAGCAAATAAAAACGCTCGGGCCGGACATAAATGTACCCAGAACCGGACTAGCTGGGCAGCTGCTGTGCTTCATCCGCTTCTTTCGAACACGCAACTTAAAATATTTAATGCAAAAAAAATATATGTGCTATTATTCTCAAATTTTATTCAATTTTCACAGCTTTAAGTTGCAGCAAGGCTTAGTAACCAATAAATTATGGAAAAGGTCTCCATGTTTGACCTTTAAAAATGGGGCTCGCATGGTAAACAAAAAAGTTTGATAAAAACATTTTTTTTCGCAATTTTTCCACACCTGCAAGTGGAATATCCCGAAACCCCATCTTAACTACAGTAAAAATTTAATTTTGTGTTTAAAATCAAATTTAGACAACATTTAGCTTGAACATAAAATTAAGTAAGTCCTAAAGAGAAGTGCTTATTGGCTTTAAAGAAAAAAAAGGAATCCAATCATTTTTATTGTCCCGAAAAGTAGATAAAAATAAAAAACAGTGTTGATTAATTGAGCTATAATAAAATCACATTTATTAGACATTTCGATTCAGCTTTATTATTGGGAACTTAACGCTCTATCAATTTAACATTAGATAACCATTTAAATTTAATAGTCTCTGGTGCTTAGCACACGTGCCAGGCAATAAAAAACAGAGCACATGTGCATAGTAAACAGTTGCTTGCAATGCGAATAAAAACTGTAAGCCTCCAGCCAACAAATATTTAATATGGCCTTTTTATTCGGGTTTGTTTGTTGTTGTTTAGTTTGCAGCAGCCTAGCATTCAAATTATTCCCGAATTTTTACGGCCAAGTTCAGCGACACGAGCCAAAAATGTAGGTGGGTGCAGTTTTCGACAGCAGCTTTCGTTTTGGATGTGGCCTCCAGGCGGGCTTTGTTGGGGATGCACGCAAGGGCGGAATGTTTGTGGCTTTCCGTTCGTCGTTTGCTCTTCGAGAAATTAGACTTAACGCAAAGTGTGAGGCACTTCATGTGTGTAGCTCAACCCCAGAGGGCTTTAAAGCTGCCACACGCTTCTACTCGCAACTTAAATGCTATACTAAATCCCTTGGCATGGTACCATAAACATGTATATTATACAGAGAAGCCAGATTCTGCTGCTGTTTTGCTTGCTTCAGGTAAAATGTATACTGTTTACCTTTCTCATCTCACTTTTTGTTACAAGAAAACAAACAAGAGCTTTCCAAAATCAACAAAACCAAAGCGTTAGCTGATCATTTATAAAAGGATTCGAAAAAATTTACGTGTACTCGCATTGTTTAGGTAATTGCAAATATTACAAAAAAAAAAGGTAATGTCTATATTTACTTTTCTTTTATATTTGCATACCCCGAACCCTTCGAAAGGGAAAAAGTGTATTATACGGGAGAAGCAGCTCACATATAAGCATGATAGGAGAAGGTTATGATGGGAATGCCCTATCCAATGTTTCTGGTAGCGTATTCAGATCTAGGTGCTACAATAAGAGCTGCACTTAACATGTTTTCTATTATCTCATGTTTGTTATCTGCTCATATTTACCCAAAAATAGTAATAGTAAGCAAGTTCCCAGTTAGTGCGTTTGCTTAAAACCCATTTTGGGCAGCAAAGATATAATTAAAAAATGCGCCCAAAAGGACCACAAAATTTCTGATCCCTTTTTGACACCTTTTCTCAATTAGGCAAAGTAAAATTTGCAGCAATTATAACCAACTGGCAACAAGGCTTTTGAAGTGCTCGAAATATATGCATGCATATGTATATACCCACATCTGTGCGTTGTCTTAAAACTTTTTTAAAGAAAACAATTCAATGCTAAGGTACGCGTCTATGTTGCCATTCATCAACTAAGATTACCAGCAGCAATAAATTAAACTAAGCTTGGTATTCTTTATTAGGCGAACACAGCGGCAGCCAGGACCAGAGCTTGGCCAAAGAAAACGCGTCTGAAATGCGCGACGGCCAAAGGTCTTTGATGAATGGTGCTGTAAAATTCGCCCAAAAATGAAAAAAGCTTATTTAACTGCAGATGTGATGCTGGCGGGGCGACGCAGGACACCTGCCAGGACATGTCCTGCACTTGTTCCATTGTCCCGAATGACAAGCACAACAAACGAAAATAAAAAAAAATATAACTGATTCTATTTCGCACTCGATTCGAGGCTGACATGCAATACGTCAGACTAAAACTAGTTAAAAGCTATTACAAAAAGTGCTACAGAGACAAGCTGTCTATCAAAATTAAAAGAATTATTTCGGCTTTAGCAGTAAATAATTTATTATTTCTTTTGCTTCTATATACGAGCGTTTATTTTTTTTTTTGGGCACACAAAATGTTTAACTTGTTATCAAAACAGGAGCTGCGAAATGAACATGATTATTATTCATGTTAATTGCTTGTCTTATGCGTGTGCCAAAGTTAGGGTACAGCCGAGCCATTAATATTACGCATACGTCGCGTTGCCAGGACAGTTGACGCCATAAAGGGTTGCACTTGACTGACTTTTTGAAGTTTTTATGTGCGCGTGTCTGTCTGTCTGTCTGTCTGTCTGTCCGTCGAGCTGTCTTTATTCTTTTATACGACTGTTGACACATTGGCGCTACAATTTTTCACGTTGTGCGCCGCACATGAGTGCGCCCTTGAGTGACTAACTGAGTTTGAGGCCGTCTGGCCGTGACAGCACACTCCAAGCTTCAGCTTTGGTCTCCGGCAATTTGGCACGTACCTATTTGACATACAAAGCAAATGGCCAAGTGTTAGATACACATCTAATTACTAAAGCAGGCAGACAGGCCCTAATCTAAGCATCCACATTCCAATCGTCAGCCACAGCAGCAGCAGCATCTTGATGCCACACTCTGTGGCACATAGCAAGCATTAATGTTTTACCACACGCAGGCCCGGCTAATTAAAGCGAAACCCACACGTTTCTTTGAAGCTTTATTATTTCTAGACAGGTATCCAAAGCGGCTTTAATAGAGAATTTGCTTTGTAAACGCAAATAAAATGGAACTTAGTTTTAGTAGTGGCCCATTTAAACCGCGGCTTGTATTTGAATAAACAAGGCTTAGTGTAAAAAACATGGAATGTGAGTGGGATGCGAAAACCGAGGGGGAGTCCGTTTCAACCGTATGTTAAGCCCCGGCAAATGCATAAACTAAGCCAATTTACATATAAATTGAATATTATCAAGGTTAATTAAATGATTTTGTATGCATTCCATATACTCATTCCATCTGTATCTGTTCCTCTCTCACTTTCGTTACAGCTACAAGAATATGCATGGCTATGTCTCGCTGGTGGTCTGCATACTGGGAACCATAGCCAACACACTGAACATCATTGTGCTGACACGACGCGAGATGCGTTCACCCACAAATGCGATTTTAACGGGCTTGGCTGTGGCCGATCTGGCTGTGATGTTAGAGTATATACCGTATACGGTGCACGATTACATACTGAAGGATAGCCTGCCCAGGGAACAGAAGCTGAGTTATGGTTGGGCCTGCTTCATTAAGTTCCATTCGATCTTTGCGCAGGTGCTGCACACCATCTCGATCTGGCTAACAGTTACGCTGGCTGTCTGGCGGTACATTGCGGTGGGCCATCCGCAAAAGAATCGTGTGTGGTGCGGCATGCGCACCACCATAATAACCATAACAACAGCCTATGTGGTTTGTGTGCTGGTCGTTTCACCCTCACTGTATCTGATTACCGCCATAGCAGAGTTTATGGATCAAATGGATGTGGAGGGCAATCTGATCAGCAGCATACCCATGAGTCAGTATGTGATTGACTATAGAAACGAAATGCAGGCTAAAATGTCTGTTGCCGTAAATGCCACTCCCACTAGCCCCACGGCCAATGTTACGCAGTGGTTGAACATGAGCGTCTTGGCCACATCGCCAATGCCACCAACACCTGTGCCGCCCGCCTCCTTGGTGGTGCGCAACGTGACCGTCTATCGATTGTACCACAGCGACTTGGCCCTGCACAATACTTCACTGCAGACCGCAACATTTCTGATCTACAGCGTGCTCATCAAACTAATACCTTGCATAGCGCTGACCATACTCTCGGTGCGGCTCATTATGGCACTGCTCGAGGCAAAGCGACGCCGCAAGAAGCTCACCAGCAAACCGGCGGCCAGCAACGGCACCAAGACTTTGGTCAACGGCAAGTCAGCGGAACGACCGCGCAAGAATAGCAAAACGCTGGAAAAGGAAAAGCAAACGGATCGCACCACTCGTATGCTGCTGGCGGTGCTGTTGCTGTTCCTAATCACAGAGTTTCCGCAGGGTATTTTGGGACTGCTGAACAGTGTGCTGGGCAATGAATTCCTCATGCAGTGCTATTTAAGACTGAGTAAGTGTGTGCTCTGTACATTAATCTTTGGCTGCTCGGCACATTGAATCCATGCGCTCCATTTCTTTAGGTGACCTTATGGACGTACTGGCTTTAATCAATTCTAGCATCAATTTCATACTCTATTGCTCCATGAGCAAACAATTTCGCAGCACATTTACGCTGCTCTTTCGACCCAAGTTCCTGGACAAGTGGCTGCCGGTGGCACAGGATGAACTTGCCGCTTCACGAGCGGATGGACTGCAGCGCTCTGTGGTCGCAGCGGTGCCTGACAAGTACCAGTCGACGCACAAGCAGCCACAAGTGGTGACGCTTGCCGCCACCACAACGACAAACAATGCCACCGAAGTGACGAATCTGTAGCAGCAGCAGAAGCAGCAGCTTTTCTATCCAAAACCACCAATAGAGCGCACATGCAGCCAGGTGGCTGTTGCCAGCACTATTGGAGCAAATCCTTTGAAGCGTTGCTTGTCAGCAGCTAAGCTGGCAGCGCTGCCTACGGCACCATACCAAGCCATTGTCGTGGTTGTGGACAGCAGCAGCGGTGCCCTAGATCATCACCTGTGCGCGCCCATTGTCAGTGCCAGTTCCACCAAAAGTTCCACTCATGTCGCGTAGTGTTGAGCACACAAAAGCGGATAGCTGCTTATGTAAATTTAAAATTCAATAAGTCTTGTTCCGTGTTTAAACGTGTTTGGTCCAAATCTACAGTTTACGGTTGATAAGTTATTTTGTGGTGCGCACAATAAACTATTGCATATATATTAGGGCATTTTGCATAACGTCAACAATAACCACAACATCAACAAAATATATAACAATAAAAAATTGATAATAACGCGCAGCATTCATACGCACCGTTGGATTCCCCACAGCCATATGTATGTATGACAAGCAGCAGTCCTTTACAGTTCAGAGAATTCCCAAAAAAAAAATTTGTTGTGTGCACATGCAAGAGTACACGTAACATCGCCCCACCACCTCCCACAGCCACCCCGTGAAGCTGCTGTCAACTGCAAATCAAACAGGATGACAAAGCGTACATAATGCGCTTATGTAAGTATTGGATTTTCATTTACATGCCCCAAAAAATAGCTGTTAGAGTTGTGCGCGAAAAAAAAAGGAATTTTTTTTCCATAGCAACTATTCAATGTTGTCGCAGTGTATATATTTACAGCTATTAAATATAAATAGAAAATAATATGAAAAAAAAGAAAATACATAAATATATATAGTTCTTCAAATTTATTTTTCTTACTTATATTGGTTTGAATATGCAGTGACTGTGCAAATTTTTGTTAAAATCATTTGCGTCAAATTTTAAATAGTTGTACTTTTTGTACTTACGAAATTAGCTTTTGCTATATTAATCGATGCGCTTTTAAACAATCACTGCATCCTTTTTAAGCCAATAATAAAAATAAATATATAATTGAGTTGATATCGAGCGATTTTATTTAAAGGCATCGACTGTTAACGAAATTACTTATAAGTGATAGGCGAAGGCTGCATAAAACTGTTGTATATGCATACGAAAAAAAATATATAAAATATATATTGATGGAAGTGTTTGCTACTGAGCCCCAGCAAATATTTTCAATCAATTATAATAGGTACACATAAACTTGTGTATGCAACATAAATTGAATTGTTGATAAATTAAAAAAAAATATATATTAATATAAAATCAGCCGTGCATTTGAATAAATATGCAGCTCACTTCGGATGCTTTGTAAAAAGCACTAAAATAATAAATCTAATATAAAAAATGTAACAATAAGTAGATAAGTCAACAAAAATGATAAGCACTTGGTAAAACAAAATATAATTTAATTAAAATGTTGTCATTTCGCTCGGAAAAGAAAGTATAATAATACAAAATATTGTTGTTTGTTATAATAGATATAATTCGCTTATAAAGTTAGTTGCGTAATTAAGTCCTATACACTTATATATAATTTATGTAAAGCTTGATTATTCTTATGTAATAAATGAAACAAAAAACTATATAAAAGTTAATTTAAAAATATGTAAACTCAAAATAAGCATAGGTATTTGTTTTCGCATAATTTTCAAAGAATTGAACAAGTTTCTAAATAATTTGAAATTCTGCCAAGCCAAGTCTCAGCGGGGTAGCCATAATACTCAGCAACTTGACAACATACGGAATGTTAATGAAATTTAATTTACATTTGGCTATGCAAAGCTGCTACAAAAAACTGAAAAAGTACGTGAACAACAATAAAACCAAAGAAGATGTCTGTGAAACTTAAGAGCAGTAGAAAGCGCCCGCAGCTCCGAGTCAATATAAATTCGCCGGGAGTAAAGCGAAATATAAGCTTCAGTTATTTACAGTGGGAAGTAGTTGTATTCCTTTACCTGAGTATTAAGTAACATTTGTTAAAAGTGATAAGTATTTATTTCGAGTCCTTATGCTTTACACAATATCAGCTTAAGACTAAAGCCCTCCGCTTATTATGTAAACTTAATTCTGCAGTTAGGCAAGCCACACCTGGCTCTTTAGCTGCTCCATTAATTAGCCTAATTTATTGCAGCTTATTTTCTAATTCTCTAATTTCAGCTAATCGACTTGGAAAACTTTTGTAAAGTTCTCCCCCTCGAGCACTCCACGCAGTCAATTCTGGCGCTGTTATTCTTCAATTGCGTAATAAATGATATTGTTTTGACAGTTCGAATTGCTTTCACATGTTCAATAACAGCCGTGACAGTCGTTAATTTTCTGTTCTCAATTAATAATAAATTCTACATGGACTTTGAAAATAAGTAATATGCAATAAATAAAACCGAGCTATCCGCTAATAAAATGAAACAGCCAACTCCATTTGGATTGCCTTCAGCAATATGGTTTTTTGAATACATTTAAGCGCCAAAACAAATTAGATGTTTGGCTAATTATTGTAATATGTTACGACTGCGAACGATTTAAAAATATTTATAATTGGTTATGAAATTTCGAGGGTCACAATTCACACCATTTTCATTTGCTTTAACACATATCGTTTGGTTTTGAGCATTCACAAAATTTAAAATATATTTGGCTTACAAACTGATAAAATTATAAGAGAAAATGTATTTTCCAGCCTCGGGTATCCGATAATAATTATGACTGTTCGTTTGTCTTTTTATTAAGCATACGCACTGTCAGCCTTTGTGTACTAAATGAAAAGTTTTCATATGAAATTGATTGAAAAACTTTTGCCTGGCGTCCTGGCAGCCGGGCGAGCAAATTGCGGCAAAGGGCCAAAGCAAACTCATGCGTCGTTAAGTGCAGCTACCAACAGCTTGGGCCGCAACCGTTAAAGCTTTAGCTCAAAGCGGGCGGCAACAATGTGCCTGCCATCCCCAGTGCACACCCAACATCCGCCGGAATGCACGAGGGCATTTAAAGTGTACGTGCAGCAGGGCCTAAATGGCAGTCTGGATGCAGCCTGTGTCTGCTGTAGCCTTTGCATATTAGATTTAACTACAATTAGCAAGCGGCTGCAACGAGCGTGGCTGCCACAGTAGTGGTTGCTCGTTTTTGATGCCCATCAAACAGAACTCAACTGCTTTGTACGGTGCAGTTTTGTTGGCCATCAGTTGCCCACGTCCTATGTGGGCAGTCATGTGGTCAGATTCCAGACATTAATATTGTAGCGTCATTTACTTAATTGTTGTGAGAGCTTTAAAGCCGTTTGCCACAAGTTTTCACAGCGCATTAGCAAAGTCAGCCATGTTGCATGTGGCACTTATAAACAAATACATCTTAGCTGCTGTCAGGGCAACTGCAGCCGGGGGTCCCTGTGCCTTTCCGCTCCTGCCTGGCTACCACTGCCGCCTCTAATGAGTCTCATTACCGTAATTACGTGATCTCTGTGCCAAATGGCAAGCACCCCTCCACTGGGCTTTCAGACAAGTGCGGCTGTACGTTGGCAGTTACTGTGCGCTGTACAAGCTTAGCAGACTATTAGCAATTAATTATGGCTATATGCAACATATAAAATAGGTATTACGAATTTTTAGCTGAGTTTCTGATTGATTATTTATTTATATAAATGTAGATAATATATATTTCCTTATAATTTGTTTGCTGGGAGTTAAGCTTTGTGCATCCAATCTATCTGTATGAAGGCGACCTTCTCTTTGACTCTCTGCACACTTGTTCTCACATGCTCTCTCTCTCTCTCTCCCTATCTCTTTCTTTCTCTTAAGGTTCTTATGCACTAATATTATCTATAAGCATCGGGTAACCTATAGTAATTTTTTAAATATCGCTTGTAATCTTATTTTTATTATATTAACTATAGTTATTGCTAGCATTTGTATTATTATCCAACCAATAATATGACCAAATGCCTGAGTCACTTAGACAACTTATCCTATAAGCCGGAATTCAAGTAAAGCGATCTGAAAATTAATCTTCAATCCTACTTTTTCCAGATTTACAGCACTTTGCTGATCGACTAATTTAGCTATCTACTAGCACAATATGCCGCATATTTGTTATATCTCATAATGCAATACTCTTAGCTGAAGCATTTCTGCTCCTAGCATCTAAAGTAGTTTGGTGCTTTGTGCATTCAGCTTACAATGTTGCAGCTGGTTATCTACACTCGAGTTGCTTGTGCAGTTTGCAACTTGTGGGTGGCCCACATTCATTTCGTGTTCAGCATGAATGCCTCATCATGAGCATTACTTTGAGCTACTTAGTTATTGAAAATCACTGTAAGCCGTCCCGCATCACCTCAACGGGGGCGCCATAAACTGCAATTAGAACTGGGATTTATGTTATTTCCCATATGCAGTTTGAGTTTTGCAAATTTAAATCAATTGAGTAAAATCAACGAGACGTAGAAATTAAGTACTATGTATAACTAATGCATAAATCATTTAGCTAAAAGCCACTTAAATTAAATTGTAATAAGCTTAATTTATAAGCTGGTGATGCTATCTAAAATTCACTTTACTCCAACCGAAATATTCTCGAAAAAGAGCAGCTTTATATGTAATTACTTTCGGGGCAAAAACGTCTTGTTAGCTGCTATGTCAATTGTCGGACCATTTCGTTGATGACTCCAAGTGTCACTTGCCGCAAGACATTTAGTTTCGTCTTTGAAGGCTAACAGCTTAGAGTCAGAAAAAAAGCCAACACATTTTTCTTTTCTTTGTGACCTAAGTTCGCTTTAAATTCTTAGTCTTAAATCTAAGTAAACGAAGGAGCTTAAGGTTACACATTATTTTAAATTCATTCTGAGATAAAGAGATTTTGTATGCCAAGTAGAAGGTATATAGATCATATATATCATCATCAAGAGCTAAATTGGTATAGTCTGCTGGGGCTGTCTGTTCCAATGCAACGTAGCCTCTCAGTCTTTACGTTATTGTCCTGAAACTTTCCTTCTGTTGTAAGCAATACATATGTATATGAGAACCGGGCTGATCGTATAAGTTAAGTTTTTGTTTAAGATTTGAATGTTACCTTTTTTCTCTTTTCATTGTATTGTGTTTTACATTGTTTTCTGTTAATGTTGTAAAAGGCACTTAAAGTAACTTAATATCTTGCCAAGTCTATCGCATGTTTAAAGTGAAATTTCTATATATACATATTCTCTGTGCCAATCAGCACCAACAGTTGCTTGTTCAGACCGCAATGCTTGGTTAAACAAACCAGAAAGCCAAATAATAAAACAAAAAACTTTCGGGCTGCAGAAACACATCAGCCCCAAAAGTTGTTAATTATTAACAGGCGCAAACGAAAGAGGCGTGGCAAAAGCTTGTTTTATGGCCCGTGTCGCTGCGTCCGAACAGACCAAAAATTGGCATTAAACATGATAATTGAATAATGTTGCCACAAATGTAACAAAAGTAGGTTTAGTTATATAAGCTATTCGGCCAGTGGCCGGAAATGTGCGCACATAAATTAGTCGAAATGAGGGGTTAGCAAGGGGTAAACATGGTTGGCTCTGGTTTTTAAAAGCACTCAACACTGCATTTGCAATTTTTGTTCAATATTTTGTCAGTAAATGTTTTGGCAAGCACAGGATAATCAGGGCATATTTAATGCACGGCTTGCCAAATAAATTATTTATTAATACAATTTGCCAGCGATTATTTAAAGCCATTTATTAAACTTGTAGCGCTGTCCGCTGGTGTTGAATATCAGCAATCAATTTGTTTTTATATCAATAACATAAATTTTAAAATAATTAAATAAACATTCAATCTTAAAGTGCAAGTAAACTCTCGTAAAGAATAATAGAATAAATATATTATACCTTAATATCAACATGTTCTAACTGAGCAAATGTTTGTTCGCTTTAATTCAGTTGACTTAATAAAAATGGATATTTGACAAGCAATTTACTCTAAAAATGCTGACACAAGTAAACTATTTTGTTGAGCTTCGAAACGAAACAATAGCAGCTGAACCAACTAAAAACTGACCAAAAAACTTGCCAACAACAGCTTTATGATTTTCTTACAAAGAGCACAAATTCCAAGAAAACTGGCAAAATTAATTAAATCACATGAAAGGCATTCAAGTTTGCGATTGTGGCTGCAAATATGACAACAACAAAAATTGTCTACGTTCCACCTGCTTTCATAAATGCTCTATAGTTGAAATTGGAACCGGACGTGCAGGGAAACCAATAAACATGCAGACGGCTCTAGCGCAACGTGCCCGACTTGACTTCATCTTTGTTTCTAACTCGATTCTTGTCTTTGTCTCTATCTCTGTCTCTTTCCTTGCATGCCTCTGAAGGAAAAGCGGAACTGTAAGGCAATGCTTGCAACCTGCAACCACCTAATTCAATTTATCTATGATTTCCCTCTATACAATTTTCCAGTTGTAGATTTTATCTACCTGCGTTGACTATTTGAATAGCTGTGTATGTGTGTGTGTGCCTTGCCATGGTTCCCAATCTCACAAAATTAAACTAACTAAACACACTTTACCATAAAGCTGTGCAATTTGTTTGAGAACATGAGAACAATTATTTTACTGT